CAATATCATCAGCATACTCTAAGTCAAGAAGTCGTTCTCCTGGGAGTAGCTCCATACCTAAGTCGTGTTCTGTGAACGCGATTTCCATGACTTCGTCAACAGTGAAGTTGAAGAGGAATGGTGACAACGGGCATTCTTGACTCACGCCGCTGGAGATATTAAACGGCGACGACAACTTGCCGTAAGCCCTCACTCTGCCCTAGCTACGAGCATATAATGCCCGGATAATATTCACATATTTCTTAGGTACACCTTTCCTGAGTAGACAGTCCCAAAGTGCATGTCTATCCACCGAATCGAATGCACCTTTGATACCGAGGAACACGACAATAGTGGGCCGCCAATAAATGTGACGGTGCTCCAACAACTGACGCAAAATGAAGATGTGGTCAATGCAGCCACGACCTCGACGAAATCCAGCTTGCTCCTCACGAATCTGGCTTTCACGAGTGCCAGTCAGTCTGTGAAGGATGACAGAGGCAAGCAGTTTGGAGGCGATGGATATCAGACTGATTCCTCTATGGCTGCCGCATTCCGATCGTGAGCCTCCCTTGAAATTTGGGACTATGACGGAGCGACTGCTTTTGGTTGGGACAGTTTGCTGCTCCCACAGTTTGACTAGTAACTCGTGTAAATCATCCACAAGAGCAGGTCCCCCGAATTTGAAGAGGGCTGGAGGAAGATCATCAGGTCCATCGGCTTTATTTAACTTCAACAGTTCGACCTCACGTTCGACTTCTGAGCGAGAGGGTGGATCCATAGGAACAGCTCAGGGAGCGGGGCGATCAGTGGCCGGCGAGAGATCTAACTATTCCGATCGGTTAAATTGCCTCTTAAAGTGCTCAGCCCAACGCTCTAAGCGTTTTGACAAGTTGTGGATAGGCTGTCCACTCTCGTCACGTATAGTTTCACTATCATCAGGTCTCCTGCTGCCCATTTTCCGTATCAGACGGAATAACTTACGATGGTTACCAAGGGCAGCGGCCATTTCCATCTCTGTTGCACGAATAGACCACCAGGATTCGCGGTCTCTCTTCAGGCTTGCATGGAGTTTTGCCCGGAGCTCATTGCGGGTTCCATTGTGTTGGCTTCCAGCCGGAATATGCCGGCGAGCATCTATAAGTTCCAGCGACTGTGAAGAGACACAATGTCCATGTTGGTGATTACACATACCGGAAGGTTGATAGCTCGCCTGGACCGAGGAACCAGTTAATCTGTTCGCATCAATCTTGTGGTGCTGCATTTTTGCGGACCCCCTCAAAACACATGAAGATTTTCGCGTAGACCACTGCATGATTTGAGTCAATGGAAGTGGAGTAAATAGACTTGTAGTCCTCTGCCATCCGAAGCTGATTGTAATGTGACTAATTTGGGACCATGCTTGTGGTTGCGAAGGGGGACGCCAAGTGGAGGAACATTTCTTTCCAGGCTTGTGGTTGATGCTTAAGAGGGACAAATGGTTGCCTTCGCACAAAACGAGAAGTCTCTCTCCATTATCAGAGAGATCCTCATCACCAAGGTGACATTCTTATGATAACAGGTGACAAACCAGTGCAATAAAAACGCTAGCGAGGATCACGACATCCGTTTTGTTGGCGTTACACAAGAGCTGAAGGAGCTCCCAATAAAAGTCAGGTGGAGCGCAAGCTGAGGTCACAAACAGGTTGCGTATCTTCAAAACGCCTGTTGATTCAACATGATGCGATGTACAACTCTCTAAAGCCAAGGGAGACACGCATCCCACAAATGTATGGCTTACCGAAGATCCACAAGACCAACACACCTTTAAGACCTGTACTATCCATGTGTAACTCACCATACCACAAGTTGGCACGTTGGCTAGTTGATCTGCTTACACCGGTGAGACGAATGATGACAAAGTACACTGTGAAGGATACATTCGACCTGATTGACTGTGGGAAAACATGAATATTGCTGGCAAGGTAATGTGTTCAATGGACGTACAGACTTTGTTCACTAACATCCCATTAAGAGAAACGGTGGATTTCTTATGTGAGCTTATCATGAGTAATAGAGTAGTGTTACCGATTCCCGTAGAATATCTTAGGGATTTGCTGCTACTATGCACAGAAAATGTGCATTTCTTATTTGAAGACAAGCCGTACCGACAGGTGGATGGTGTAGCCATGGGAAGTCCGCTTGGCGCGGTATTGGCTGACATCTTCATGACGATGGTTGAAATGAGATGTGAGCCGCACATCAATCAAATGTGTTTATACAGGCGATATATAGATGACACACTAGTGATCGCCCCAAGTGGAGATGCTGTTCTATCTTTTCTCAATGTGCTCGATAACACACATCCAAACGCCCGTTTTACCTGTGAATTGGAGGATAACAATTGCCTTCCGTTTTTGGATGTGTTGTTGACCAGCCGAGAAGACGGCTCCATAAAGCGTTCTGTTCACAGGAAAGCTACATGGACAGGATTGAATTAACACCAACAGTTTCGCCTCTATACAATACAAGCGGTGCACAGCTAAGACGCTGTTTAATCGAGCCCGCAGAATATGCACTGACGACTGTTTGGAATCGGAATTGCTGTTTATCACACAGACGCTACGGGCCAACGGATATCCAGAGGCGTTTATTCGATTCCACAGTCAACTGAAGGAAAACAAGCCGAGGGTACTTACTGTGGCCAAACTGTCTGTCTACCTTCAATTACCTTTCAAAGGTGATATCGTGGCCGCCCGACTTGAAAGTCGTTTGCATACAGCAATTCGTTGGACATTCAATGCCGCCAAATTCTGCCCCATTTGGGAGAGAAGGAAGTTGCCTATGCCTCCAATGAAGCCTGCTCAACCGATCTCCGCCACAACCCATTGTATTTACCAATTCGTTTGTAACTGCGGTAGTAGTTACATTGGCAGAACAGATCGATCCTTGGGTAAGCGCATCAGAGAGCATATTCCAAAACGGATGGTTAAAATATCGACACAACCAGCAGCCGAACGAGAAAAGGTATCTAAGCTGCCGGCATCATCGATCGCCAGAAATCTACTCGAATCAGGCCATCAAGTTGACCCTAGATCAACATTTACAATTATCCATCGAAAAGACAACCCCAAAGTATTGAGGTTTGCCGAGGCGGTGACACTTAACCGGCATCGCCCTATCCTCTGTGTACAAAAACAATTAACAGTCTCCCTGAAGCTTCCTTGGGGCTCATGACCCTAAGATCAAGCTCGTTGATCTGTTATTCTTGCGTCTACGTAATTTTACTTTGTGACCAGTTTCAAATCTTCGATTTTTCTGTCACGTGATTCATCTGTATGTTGTTAGTTTGCGAGTGAGCAGATAACACGAAATGGGTCCATCTCTCAATACCAGTCTTCTCATTGTCTTATTTAGAATGATAAAGGGAACTCAGTGCTTTAAATGGACCATTAAGCCGAATGACTGTTGATTGGGAACCAGCCCAGCAGTGCGGCCTCGGCCTTGCTACGTAGTACTATATCTACACCGGCCAAATCTGCTGAGGATGCTTCTGGGCCTCCAGAAAGAGGTAGGTGATATCTGGCTTTGTGGTTTGTTGGGAATGTCAGCTTAAGCAGAGTACTAGGTTTCGGTAAGGCAGCAGACAACAACATCGAGAGATTCCAGAGCGCGCGCTAGATCGAATTGCTGTCCAATTTGCATGTGTACGTCGAAGCACACTATGCGGAAAAAGGATCCGAGTCGAAGGAGAGTCACAACTTGAACTCCATGGTTCGTAGTGCAACTAGAATCGCAGGTAGATCCAGGTACACAGTAATAGGGTGACGGAAAACAAGGATATGTAACAAATAAGCAAGTGACGTGTGATGGAGTCGCTTGGATGTAAAAATCAGACAGTAACAGATGAGCACAGTCCATGGTTTTTGTCAGAGGTTGTGACACTACCCGGTTTTACAAGCCGACGTAGGGAGCTGACTTAGGGGATACCACCCGGAGCCTTTGGCTTAATGGCCTATAAGCAAGGCAGCGTAACGAATTTAGGGAATAGCGTCCATGGGAAGCGAGCGAGCGATTGCTCAGTTCATGCGCCTTTCGTTTGGTGAATTACCAAACAAACTAGTATCCTCGCGATGGAAAAAGTAACTAGATTAATTCGCTAAGCAAGCCAACTTCCAGAATTGCAAGAGGACCGTTGGGTGAAAATATGTCCGGTGCACATCCTTGTATGTGACGGTTTTTAGAGAACGCAAGCGTACTACAACTGTCTTGCATAGGGCTACAAGTGAAATTGCAGGCGATGCAGATGAGGGAACTACCCGCAAGGAAAGATTGCAGGCTTAAATGGTATAGCCTATAAATTGTTGAGTCAAGTCGCAGATAATATGAAAAACTTCAGTTTGAAACGGAGAGTGGCCCGAAGTAAAAACAGGAAACAGAAATTTGCCTGTTGCGTGTGCGTTCTGGTCGATGATGGTGGCATTAGCGGAGGTGGACACACGTCGACTGAAAGTACAGTGTTTGATAAGCGCAACCGGAAAGCGTAGTCATGAGCAATGATCAGTGAAAGAAAGTTCGCTAAGGGACAAGCATTCGTGTGTTCAACGTGATAGCATCCGGTATTGAATGGCAGATAAAATAAAATCGATCAAGAGATTGATAAATGACTCAGCATGCAACCGAGTGGTATGTGCGGGACACGGATTATGCAGAGTTATATAGCACAGACCAATAACGATTTGCGAAAACAAAAAATAAAGATATGTCCAATTATATAATGACAAGTAATAATAAATAATAATAATGTCAGCTGTACGCCGCAACGGCGCTTTGCTGCCGCGCGACCACTACCAGTCGCGCGCGGGCTGAGTATACCGCGAGGACGCCCACCCGTACGCGGATTCGAATCGGTGACCTTATGGTTGCAAACCAAACGCGCAGACCACTCGGTCAGCGGCCGACAAGTCGTAAACCGAGAATATGATGAGAACTATGAAAAGGGAATTTTACAAAAAACAAAGTTAAGCAGAGGTGAACTTTACCTGCAGCTCCTTCATGACCGCATTAGCAGCACGAAGCTGCTCGACACTCTCTGAACACCGGGTGTTTACTTCTTTCAATAAGGCGTCAGCTCGAGACCGAATGCGCAACATGAGAGAAGATGCTCGAGCCTCAATGTCCGATCGAGTTTTTTCTGCACTTCCCAGGAAGCTATCAACCTTGGTATTGGTACAAGCGGACATAGCGATTTGAGAACAATCGGACAATTTGACTTGGTACTGTTCCAGACATTTTATAGCTTGTTCCAGGGGAGATTTCAGTAAGTTGGCTTTCTCTCCAACCCACCGGTGGCTTCCGTGGTCTCTGTGAACTGAAAGTTGGCAATCTCGACAGGTGAGGATTCCACAAGCTTCGCAGAAACATTCTAGATTCTCATGAGGATGTATTTCACAACGAAGGCCCTCTGAAACAGAACCGTAGATGGAATGTGGGTTGCATGTGTGCTGTGACAACAAACTTGGTTCGAACAAGCGTTTCTGATGCCTAACAGATATACTTCCCAAAACAAGCAGATACAAGCGGACATCAGTGTTCAAATGTTCAATGTATGGATGAAGTGATGGGCGATAACTCTCTAAATGAACTTCGCACTGAAAGGGGGTGGAATGCAGGTAATGCAAGTAACAATAAAGTCAACTCCACTCACTCAATCTGGGGTCATGGTATTCAAAAGTATGCATAATTCTTAAATGCATCCGTAATATTCAAGATCTAGGAAATATGCTGGTAGAAAAGATAACTAGCGATCAACCGCGGAATGGTAGATGGATGTCAAAGCATGATGTACCGCTAGCAGTTTGACTTGAACGTGGGATAGTCCGAAAGTTCACATAAATAACAACAAATCAACGTAATTCCTGTTCATTCAAACGTTAGCTGTGTTTTCCCCTTCCCCGCATTTTCCCAATTGTTATTGAGTGTGATTTGCATAACGACGCGTGTTGAGTCAACTGGATCCACTAAACGTCTGTGCTTGGACAACAGTATAACTGGACCAAATTGTAACATGGATGCCCCCTTCGTTGCAACGCCATTGTGCTGCAGACAGGAACCATCCTGTCAAAACAACGGGGCATATCGATGAACCAAATCGAAGGCACCCTCGATGTCGAGGAACACGATTGTGTTGGCGCTCCAACAATCGACGCGATTTGATGAATACAGCCGCGACTACGACGAAACTTGCCTTGTTCCTCATGAATTTGGCTTTTACGTGTTCCAGCAAGTCTATGATGAACCACAGAGGCAAGTATCTTAGAGGCAACTGAGATCAGACTTATCCTCCTATGATTGCGGCATGCGGAATGTGGGCCCCACTTGAAAATCGAGACTATTAAGGAGCGGCTGCAGTCTGTTGGGACGGTTTTCTACTCCCACAACTCCACTAGTAAACTGTGCAAATCAGCAACAAGAGATCCCAGAATTTGAAGAGGGCTGGAGGAAATCTATCCATGCCTGCGGCGTTAATCGATTTCAACAGTCGGATCTCAGGCTCAACTTCTGCGCGTGCAGGTTGGTCCAAGGGGATGACCCAGGGAGAAGGGCGACCAATGGCTGACGGAAAAACTATATATATATATATATATATATATATATATATATATATATATATATATATATATATATATATATATATATATATATCACAATCTGTGGTTATTGTGTTGCCGCTGAATGTACGGCTAAACTGCTACTACAGTGCAGGTGACCGTCGCCAGAAATGTGCGGTTTCCGCAGAGAGCACGGATAACCTGCCTGAATCTGTTGTGCCGCCCCCAACCAGTTCAACCTGCCACGAAGTGAGAATGCCAAGACCAGCCGCACCGAAGGATTCGGATTCGGATTATACTGTATGAGAGCATGACGCAATAAACAGGTTGTAGGAACCCACTAACACAACAAAATTGGAGATGCAAATGAATATTAACTAACACAAATCAAACGGCTCAAGTACATGGTCCGACTTGCCTTTGATTCCACATAGATTTACATAGTGATCTTTACTCGCACTCGATCTCTAACTGTAGATCGATTCACTGTTGCGCCACTGCTCTCGCTCTCCATAACACCTCCCTCGCGCAAAATGACGCGCGACTTCCGTCATGGGTCTAGATGCATTCTGATGAGGTGCCTCCACACCTGATCAGTGCATCATCGAGGCTGCAAATTCGTTCCTTTTTGTAGCCAATGGTCAAAGCACATTAGGTCCCTCCTGGGTACCAAAGTGAGTGGCTGAACGGGTGGAGAACTGTGCCCTCTAAGCGATAAAGCTCCAGGTCAACCAATGGTGTTGCAAGGCCATTCCGAAAAACTGCTGTATACATCTCGCAGGTGCTTAATGGCCACGGTTTTGGGGGCTGATGGTTTGTGTAGCTGGACAGTTGTGCAGAATTGAAGAACATTGCATTTCCGTTCGCAGGAAATTTCTCTGCCTAGCGACAAATGGCCTCTTGGTGCGCTTTGATCTCTGCGGAATGCGGTAATAATCGCAGTAGGGGGCTTTTGTTTCGGCACATTTTGATTCACCTTGTGGCCTCCAGTAGCTGTGCGGTGGATCTGCAGTTCCCATCTGGCAATTGAATCTTCAAACATTTTGGTGTCTAATCCCGAGATGAGCTGCTTGTAACATTCACCTGCAATGTGCTCTGATGTGAGTTCTGGTTCAAGTACACAATCTGCTTGAAGGTTCAACTTCTGTGTCAGCCTCATTGTCAACTGCTGCCGAGATTCATCAAACATATACTGCCGGACCTGAATGAGTGTCTGCATTTGCTTTGAAAAAATGGCTGTATACTAGAGTGGGTGTTCGAGTGAAAGTCACGATCATACGCAGATGTGAGGCCTCGAACGGCTGCTGCTTTTGTAGCAAAATAGTTTTCAGATCTTCCGCTGATATTGCCATCTCGAGTGAGTTTACCTCCCATCGCCAGAAATATGTTGTGGTGCCGATGAATGCACGCCGAAACTGCCACTACCGCGCAGCCAAACGTCGCCAGAAATATGTCGTGGCGCCACTGAATGAACGGATAAACCGCTGCTACCGTTCAGCTGACCTAAGCCAGAAAGGTCTTGTGGTTTCCGCTGAGAATACAGATAACCCGCCTGAATCAGTTAACGGGCAGAAGGAGACCAGTTAGCGAGATCATGTGTGATGGAAGTGGACCGCCAATCTACAGTTCGTGAAAACGGTTGAAGCGTTAAGCCGAACAATTTAATATGCTGCTTCATCAACCGGAGTTACCAGCATCTGCTGGCCCACCAACCTCCCCGTGGTGCCATCTTGGTGGTTCGGGATAATCGCAATCCAGCCGATGGTTCTGCGGCAGAGCTCCTATCCGTACACTGTTTTCTCCTTCCGCCATGATTCTTATAGCATAGTACCTGTACCACTGGTTAAGAGAGTGAGCGCACAGGCCGAGGGCAGTAGCGCGACAGTGGACTGATCTACAAGTATAGATCGAACGCGAGTAAAGATAAAAAACGAATCTAAATGAAATCAACGGCAAGTCGGACCATGAACTCAAATTGTTTGATTTGTCTTACTTAGTATTCATTAACATCCCCAATTTTAAAGAAACCTCTAAAGATAATCGAAAGTCAATGTTAGCGAACATATATTTTCGATAATTCTTCATCAGACTAATACAAATAAATACCAATTACATCAATTAAAAAGACTACTGAGTCGTTAAAACGGGGTACAATCAGTTTACAAGAGGTCCACTATCGCCAATAATCAGGTCAATGTCGGCGTCTTCACACGATCCAACTGAGTAAAAATCACTACTCGATCGGGCCAGGACAGTTGTAAGGGCTGAACAAATCGCTTCTGAGTGCACAACTTTGGTTCCTACAACCGGATTGCTGTAGCTTCAGTGGCTTCTAGTATCCGTCTTCGCATATACCTCGATCGATTATCCGGAGTCTTTAGGATAATTTGAAATGCTTCGGCTGGCCTAGGGTTGTGACTTGTGTCGGCAAGGTGGGCAGCTATGGCTGAGTTACATACCCTTCTGCATCCGGTCGCTAGCTATGCCGGACGGTGTACTTTCATTCTCTCGAATAGACACCTAGTCGTTCGACCAATGTATCCTGAACCACAGGAACAGGTAAATGAATAGATGCCCATAGAGTTATCGTGGACAGGTCTACTATCCTTCCGGTTGAGCTTCACCATCGGTATGCTGGTAAAGTAAGTATGTAATTTTGCTGCTGGGAACGTCCGTCTGAGCTCCTGTGATAGACGGCGATTAAGAATTTCGGCAGCGATTTCCCATTTGTAAGGGAGTTACAAGAAAATCGCTTTTCTGTTAACTGTTAAAACAAGCAGTGTGTTCATGCTCTTCTCCATGTGGACCTTATGAAGTGATCTGGATAACCATTTTCCCGCAGCAATGAGCCTATTCACTGTCGTTCGCCTGCAAGTGTATCATGCGAGCAGGTTCTTTCTGCTCTACTGACCAGATTATGAATTAAATTCCGTTTCAGCATCAGTGGCACGAACCTGTAGAAGTGTACTGTGTGGTGTACTGGCCGTTCCACGAGCTTTTTCTATATACTTGGCACTGTAATATCCCGCTATCGAGTCTCTTCAGACCCACGTCTAGAAAGCGAAAACAGCCATTTTCCTCTACCTCCGAGGTAAAATGCATTGCATTATGGGCTCGGTTAAAAGTGTTGGTGATAACTTCAATATTCTGGGAGGACTGAAACATCACAAATATGTCATCAACATAACGGCGGTAGAGGTTAAAACTAGCGGTGGTTACTTTTAGATTCCCTTGTTCAATCATGCCCATGAAGATATCAGTAAGTACTGGCCCATGTGGCGAGTCCATCGCCACTCCATTTTGCTGTCGGTATATCTCCCCGTTAAATACAAATTGAACGTTAAACGTGCATCGAAACAGCAGTTCTTTCAAGGCCACTGTGGGTATGCCGATTTTAATCCCGCTCCCGTCAACGTCTTCGCAGATGTAATTGATTGTCTCAAATATCGGTACATTTGTGAACAGTGAGAAAACATCCGGAGAGCACACGATTAGACTAGAGACGTTTACGTCTTTTATTGTCTCTACAAATTCGAAGCTATCCTTCAAGCTATGCACTGCTATCCGCTTTCGGATGGGTTCAAGTATCTCAACTAGCCGACGTACGGCAGAGTGATAAAGTGAATGCTTCATATCCAAGACCGGCCTCAGCGGGACGTTTGGCTTGTGAGTTTTGGGCAAACCGTAGAGTTTAGGAATAACCGTACCCACAGGATGCACATACTCGTAAACCTCTTTAGTGATATAACCCTCGTTTTGTAGCTTTTTGAGGCGTTTGTAGATATGGTTCTCGCATAGCTTTGTCATATCTTTCTCGCCCACTGTCCTCGAAAAATTCGTCGAATCTGCCAGT